AATGCGCACCGTTTTGATTGGACACACATTTTACCGCACAAACTTTATATTTATAGTATAGCGAATATCTACGCGATTATTAATTATTTTCTGGACGATTTCACAGATTATCTGTTCTATGGATTCTTGACGGATTTATGTACTTCGCGAATAAGAAAAATATCAGGAATGGTTATATTGATGTTGAAGTCAAGTAGAGTTAATATAGTCTTTATATTATTGCTCACTAATACAATCAGTGCCATATGTGAACATTCATATTGGTAATCTAATTCGTGTGAATTGTTGATTTTCAGGGAAAAATAGTCTGTAAATTTCCGGTATATACTGCCGTTGTGCCAAACGCTGGGAATTAAAAAAACATTCTATTGATTTGACTGATGTTATAGACTGATACGATAAGTAAGATGGCTAGACTACTGTATTGATGTAACTGATGCTATTGATTGCTATGATAGAGATTGTAGAGATTTGATGCATGCATTGATTTCTTGAGCTTTATGGATTCTCTACTGTTCACGATTTTATCGACTTCTATTCCGTATTGATTTCCGTATCTGCATTGACTCATTGATCATGTACGATTGATTGATTTGACTTGATTTGATTGACCTGCATATTGTTTCCAGTGTCGTGCTTTGATTTCAGTTGTAGGCTTTGGTGACCTGCTGGGCTATTTAAGCTCATTATATGTGGTTAATATTTCAGGTGCAGAGCCTCCCGCGTGAAGCTTCTTTGGTCGCTAGTATAGTCTTGTTTTTGTAGCCTATGGCAGGCTTTTGTTTTGTAGCCGTATGACTATTGTACATATTCTTTTGGACGTTCCTTTTGACTGTATATATGTTGTATATGTTGAAATGTAGATTATAGTAGTTGTTATATTTCTTTTCTGTAATGCAATTATCTCTGGATGACTGTATTGATCTGAACGAGAAAAAGAAAGAAAAGAATGAGAAAAAAAAAGATATGGAAGAAGGTCAGATGAATCCTTTCACTATTGATATCTGGGATGTTACAATCTATCCCCTCAAAAAAAGAGGGGGGTTATAAATAACCACAATATAATAATAAGACAAATGACAAACGTGCCCAGCCCCTATGGTCATATATGCCTACTCCCTTAAATGAGGGTAAAAACGAAAAAATGCATACATAAATCAAAATACAAATAATAACTCAAAATAAAGTGGTACAATCACGACTATTATATTGAATATAAAAAAAACAGTCACATTTCTCTCTCCAAACTGTCCATTTTCAGCAATATCCCACATTTCCATGAGTGACATAAAATGAAAGCCTAATTAATGCAAAGAAAAAAAAAAAAAGACAATGAATGCATTTAGCTTCCTACTTTAGCAACCAAACTCCCCTCTCGTCCTTACTCTGCTAAGCAGACATTCCTCCTCAAACTTTGCCAGTTTTAAAACATTTATGTCACCCTCTTCTCCTACTAACGATGGCCATCGTCCCAGTGGCCCGCCGGGAACAAGTCCCGCTGCCTTGCGCGGCCATCTCCATCCCCCCGAGCTTCGCTAGCTCCTATTAGCTGGTTCAAGATATAGCATATGCAGTAGTATAAATTTTCCCTGAAAGTTGAAAAAAAAAAAAACATTTTTATTTCTTTATGTTATATATCATATCGTTTGCAGATTACTGTAATTTAAGGCGATTTTTTTTAGTTTTGTGGATCAAAAGTTCTGATCACGAATATGCGATTATTCCATAGAACTCTTTGAAAAGTATATTAGCTTGCTACTGATGGCCGTCTTGGAGCAAAGTCTTTGATGGCTCGTGCTTTTAACAAATATTGAGTTGCAGGGAGTTCAGAACTTCAGATTAGTTCACAAATCATAAGATGACAAGAAAGAGGTTGGAAGAACAAGATTCAAGATAGGAAAATATATTGAGATCTAGAATTAATATTATAAAGATCGATATTCCATTGTTAGCCAGCTGAGCGTCTTATTGTTTTCCTGTTTCAGTGTCTGCATAAAGGAGAAGCAGTAGGCTCAGTTGTCAAGCCCTGCACGTGGTTCAGCCTGTAGTTCAAATAAAAATTTTCCATCTTCATCATTATCCCGAAGAAAGGAGGAAGAAAGCAGATAGGCAAGCTAGTAATTTCTTCACTATAATATACAAAGCAAACTCATTAGTTCTTTTGCATGAATCATAGAATTCTCTGATGAATAGTAGCAAGCTGGTTTTACATACTGTATTTCACTCGGCCACGTTTGAGACGGCTTTCTTACTGCTTTTCAAAAAAATTGTTAGTATAAAAATTAAAATTTTTGCACTAGACAAATGTTTTAAGGAGCTACAAAAAAGCTGCCCCAAACAAAGCCTTAAATTTTCCAAAAGTTATATTTTCCATATTGTATGTAAATTTATTAATAAATTTTTGTTGTAAATTTGAATAATAGAGTCCCTCTCCAAATTTATTTTGTTTAACATATTGTATGTTGTTTATGAAGAATTAGAGCTTAAAATATGGTTTATATTAATTTTGTAAATTTTATTATGCAAAATTATTGATTTTTATAAATTTAATTAAATACAAATAGTTCTACTATCACTTAGTAAAAATAGTACTTCTTAAATAAATTCATAAAATTAATAAAAATCAATTTAATAATACATAATAATCACTCATAAAAGTAGAATATTTTGATCAAATTATTGCTCACATAAGATTTGATATTCTTATCTCATTTAAATTCTTAACTCCTATCTAAATGATACTCAATACAAATTTTTATGAAAGTATTTTCATGAGTAAATCATAGAATAATCTTGAATAATTATATATAATATTAAATAAAAAATAACCATTTGGAAACTTAAAAAATGCAATCAAATATTATTATTGGGCTAAGCATAAAAAACATATGCTTAATCATTTAATTTTAAAATATTTAGAGGCATATAAATAAAAAATAAACATAGAAATAATAATAATATTATAAAACTTTATATTTTATTTTTAATATTTTTTAAACGTACAGCAACTTCATTTAATTATTAATAATAAAATTTTTAAATATATAACAACATATTATTCTATTATTTTTATTTGAAAAAAAAACTTATTATTTCATTTGTAATAATAAAATTATGGCATTGTAGATTGGCGTTTGTAACAACGTCAGTTGCGCCCATGGGCCGGCCCGCCTCTGACCCGCCCTAATCTTCTCCTCATCCCCTCCAGCTCCCATCCCACTTTTCCTCTCGCAGGCTCTGCTCTGCATCTTCTCCCCCACACTCCAATCGATTCTTTGCAAAGCAAAATTCCAGTTTTTAATTAGATTTATGGCTCTATTCTTCTCTCCTTTCCCTTACCTTCTCGCCTCACCACAAGAGCCCAGCAGTGCCATCATCACCGTTCCTCATTCTTACAGCTCTTGTTCCTCTCTCCTACCCCGATGTTCAACAACACAAACCTCCTTTTATCTTGCTCCGACGATCCTGTTTCGTCCCCCGCGAAATCGCCTCAATAAGACACTAACGCTGAGCATTTCAGTAGCTTCTACGTCCTCTTCTTCCACTGAGACTAAGATCACTGATTTCGACGCCGTGGTCGACGAGCTGGAACCGGAAGAGGAGGACCTAACGGCGTCGCCGTGGGAAGGCGCTGTGGTGTACCGGCGAGACGCTTCGGTAGCCCACGTCGAGTACGCGACCACGCTCGAGCGGCTGGGCCTCGCCAAGCTTGCCTCTGGGTTCTCTAGGTCTAGGGCTTCGGCCATGGGGATCCGTTTACCGGCCAGGATGGCAAAGGACTCGGCTTTGGCCAATGAGACGCCTGTGCTGATCTCCATCGATGTTACGAGGAGGAAGCGCAAGTTGAAACTCGATGGAATATTGCGTACAGTCATTACCCTCCGTTGCAACAGGTAAATCTATGATACGTTTTCGTTTGTTGAAACGAAGTATGCTGATGATTTCATATTTGATTGCTGGAGATGCGAATATCATCAAAAATTGAATATACTTCCTAGGGCCTAGTTGTTTAATACGAATTGCATAAAAAAAAAATAAAATAAAATGTTCACACATTCATGCTTAATTGATTGGTAGCTTAAAGTGTCTTATCATCTACTTTTTCTGTAGTAAACTGAAATATCATTCCTAGGAATTTTTTTTTCCTCAAACTTATAGTTTTAGCTTCATGGATGACAGTGCCCCACTCATTGACAGGATTGAATTTGGAGTTTAAATTTCTGAGTACTTTTGATTAATATGTGAGGAAATATGAGAGGGTTACACAATTAGATTTTATACTTTTGCTAAAGAATTGTTCCCTTATGTTGCATTGATTACTGAAGGGTAATTGGATGAGACAGAAGCTAAAGGTTTCTGATTGCGGAGGTCGAATTTTGTCACTGCATTGTCTCAATGATGATGAGACAACATGAATGTCTCTTCCTTTGGCCTTTTGAGCTTTGCTCACACATCTTTTCCCTACATTTTTTCATTATATGCAACTTGCTACAGTTGCAGCATCCACTTAAACAAATTTGGGACTTGCTTGTGTTGTGATTTTGTCGCTGGTTCTTATCACAAGATTTTTATTTATCTATAACTTTGTTATTGTCCTTTGTATTGAGACATAATCCTATTGTTAACTTTTCAAATAAAAGATTATGCTCTTGCAACACTCAAATAATCTCGGATTTGCTTATGTTGTGGTTTGATTGCTGGTTCGTTTCATAAGCTTTGGTTCGTCTTTTCCTTTATTGTTGCCTGTACTCTAAGAAATGTTTTTATTGTTAACATTTAAAACAAAAGATAATGCATCTTCACCTTTCTCAAGCCATTTAATATCCTTGCTGAATGACATATTTGACATCTCCGTGCTTTCTAGGAGATGATTCATAGGAACTATCCACTGATGTTACGTGGTAGTACTGATTCTCAGGTAATGATGAGAGTGAGTCTAAGACATGAATCTTGTCGTCAAAGTTGATGTTCACAAAGTTCAATTGTCTCATGATTGAGTTGAACTCGTTCATGTCATCGTCGATTGATGTTTCTTTTGACATCTTGAGATTGAAAACTTGTGCGTTATATTTACCTTATTGATTATGGAGTGCTTTTCATACATATCATGAAATACCTTTAGGGCAATTGCCTTAGTGGTCTTGTTGAGGATGTTGAAGGCATGTTCACGCTAAGGGATAGATAAGTGACCCCTAGAACTTATTTGTCCCATAACTTTGACTCTCCTTAATCTTCTAACATCGCTTTACTCCCTTTAGATGTTGATGGATCTTTCTCTAATGTAGATAATCCTTTATCTATATTTTTTCAGAACTTGGAAGTTTCGTCCATCAACTTTTTTGAGTTTTGATATTTTTGTCCTTCATGATTGAATTTGAAAGCTTTACAGATCAAATTTGTAATGCTAATTGTTGGGATAATAATACAAATTTGAGCAAAATCTATTGAAGATAAAACTCCAAACACACCAAAGATCACAAACACAATGCATACAATCATACATAGTTGAGTTCATTCCACTAATTTTTATAACCTGACTAAGATCAAATATTTCACTAAGTTTTAAAAGACGAGTTGTTGTTGATTTCTTTTCATATAAACTTAAAGATAAGAATACATATATCATTTTCTCTATACCGACAATTGAGAAGGAATGCAACTGATTGTTTTAAAAACGAGAGTTAGTGTTTAGAAGAATATGTTTTGACTGCTATTACTCTCTTCCTTTCCCTCTTAGGAGAGCTTCTCTTTGCTATGGTTAAAATTTTCTCTTTTTGATATGATTGAAACTAGCAACTTTTTTTTTTTCGTCCTGAAGAAGCAAAAGATCTTTGTCCAGCAATAATCCAAAAAAACTCCTCTCTTTGTTTTTTCGTTAACAGCCCCTATCCCCTCTCTTACACCCATATTTCTATTTATTTGCCGTTGTTAGATGTCAAATATTTTCTTCTAAGTCTCAATTTATCATGATAACAAAGAATCTGTTTGAAGGCATAAAAAATATTACAAGATTTTATTTAATCCTTTAGAGTCAACAAAACTTTCAGAACTCACAAAAAAGATTTAATTATATATTTGAAATCTTAATCCAATATTTACAATAAATAGTAAATCTCGATTATATCCTTGAAAGATTTTATCTACAAAATTTTTTGCTCTGCCTTAACAATAGCTTTGCATGCTAGGGAATGATTGGAGTATAGGGATGAAAATCAAAGAATATGAGAATCTGAGAAAGGAAGAGGAAGGAGAGAGAGGGCGATGAGGATGTGTGTGCGAAGAGCGCCTTTCCTTAATGTGGAATGGAAGAGAAAACCCATAAGCAGACAAAATGCTCAATAATCATTTAAAAACCAATAAATAAACCCTAAGGACCATTTATATAAAATAGACTTTAGACATAATTATAATAATGATCTCAATACACATGATAAGAACAAATAAAAGAAATACAATGAGGTCGTAGGCACATCAAATCAAACTAGTCAGTAGCAGTGAATGTTAACATCAACAGTTGATCAAGCCAGTGCTCTTGTTTGTCATGTCAACACTTTCACATGCCTTAACTGTCTTCAAATGGTCATCATTATTAGGATTCATAACTTAAAACTCAGAATAGTTTGGATGTTGCAAATGTTGACATTGTGACTTAAAAGATGATAGAATCATGACTTATATGTTAAATGTTCATGGAATCAAACTCCAAGCTAAGGCAGGACTAAGGCTAGGACACTATTTGGTTGAACCCTTGGAAATGGTATGCACTCATTACATTTTACTGTATGGGTATTTTGCTTTCCTTGCTATTTAAGTTTTGTTCGGGACAACTTTTTTATTGCTTCTTAAAGCAGCTTTCTAGTACAAAAATTACTAGAAAGCTGCTTTAAGAAGCAGTAAGAAAGCCGTCCCAAACAAAACCTTATCCATCATATGCAGCTTTCTGTCCTCTTGACACTTAGTAACTAAGTTCTTAAGAAACATCCTTTTAAAGCCATGTCTTCTGTGTGGCGAGAATTAGCTGAAATTATTTGAAGTATCTACTGGTTCTGTATAACAGATGGCATGGCTTACTAACTCTCATAAATTTTAATAACTTGAGACTATTAGAACATGCCCATCTTTCTTTGGTGTTTACATAATTAGATGATGCTCTATTTTGATTTAAGATCCAAGTATGATAATGGCAATAAGAGCATCCCCAAAACATCAGAAATTTACTCCCATGTGGCTTGAAACACCATTCATATTTCTCTGAAATCTGATGCAGAACATTACCTTTACATTTATAGGTGTACCGAACCAGCCGCTGAAAGTATCTTCTCCAACTTCACTCTCTTGCTGACAGAGGATCCTGTTGAAGAAGAACAGGACGAAATCAACATGGGAGTGCTCTACGGCCAGGAAAATATCAAATCCCCCACTGGAATTTGCAATGATGAAATGGAAGTTGATGAGAAACTTATAGATCAGGATGATAAGCTCTACTTTCCTGCTGAAGAAAAAGAAATAGATATCTCCAAACACATCCGAGATCTAGTGCATGTAGAGATTACTGTAAGTGCAGTTTGCAATGCCGGATGCAAAGGTTTGTGCCTCCAATGCGGCACAAACCTGAACAAGAAGAGCTGTAATTGCAGCCAAAAGGCTGAACAAGCCACAGAATATGGACCTCTTAGAGATCTCCGGAAGCAAATGCAGCAAAGGTGATGGCTATGTTTTCTTCCATGCATCTGCACTTGCGATGATGTTAATGCATGCTCTTGTGTGAAATTTCTGCATTTACTTTTCTTGATTTTAAAGGATTAACTGTTTATCCCTTCCACTGAAATGATTATTTTGGATGTGTGAAATTTCCTGTTTCTTCGTAAACAGTCTTCTTATTTACGGTCATTATCTTCTGGACTCTTTCTTGAGCGAACACATTTCTACGAAAAAATAGAATATCTTATAGTCATGTATTGTAATTCTTTTAAGAGGATCCTATGGTTCCTTAATGATACTTTCATACATTATGTTCGATATCAAGGAAAAACAATTCTAGCTTCAAAAGGAACTCTTATTATGATGAAAAAATGGGAATTTCATCTTGTAAATTTTTGACAATCTTATTTTCACTTTTGGTTTCAACCTTATAGGATCCATATAAAGCAATTACCCAACTTTCAGCTATCAGATTAATGGCCTGTAAAATAGAAGTATCCATGGTCTAGGGTCCCTTTGAAGCTGTTGGTTAATTTATTTACAAGTTTTCTTTTCTCATAGCTTCTACACTTATATTTAGCTACACTTAATTATTTTTTTTCCCAAAAATTTATGCTGTTAAGAGTTTTTTACAATCAAATTAAATCTTAAGAAAATTAATATCTGTTTTTTTTTTCAAAAGAGAAATAATTTATATTATTTGCAATATTTATAATTTTATTATTACATTCTTAGGAAATAGCAACTGCCTTAAACAAACCCGCAACACTTGAAAATGTTTGAAGCAATGAGATGGAAGCAGGGTAATGCCTATACAAAAATTGATTTCAATTTAGGCTTTGTTTAGTATGACTTTCTTACCGTTTTCTAAAGTAATTTTTTAGTATAAAATTTTTTTGAACTAGAAATTTTTATGCTAGGAAGCTGCTTTTAAAAGCATTAAAAAGTTGTTCCAAATAAAACCTTAATCTTTCGATTATGCCAGATTGATCTCAATTTAGTCATTGAGGGATTTAGTCATCGAGGGATCATTTTGAATTAAATTTATATTATTGACTGATTAAATTGAAGAAATGTATATTCGAAATCATGATCTAAACTGAATTTTGATCGAAATCAAAACCCTAAACTAAAGAAATGAAGAGATAGGGTGCAATTTATGTAAGAAAATCCAATGAGATGAAAAGGGTTACCCCTAAGTAATCCATGAAAGATGAACAAAAGTTTTTCAAGAAAGCAGCAAACAGCAACTGGAAAAAGGCTAAAAGCATTAAAGTTTAGTCATGCAGTGTTGAGTTGACAGCTCATAGCAAAATTCAAATATATGGAATTAGCTTATTTTGTAGGTGCCAATTTTTTTAATTGATTAAAAAAATATCAAAATCTTGGAATGAAGCTCACAAATATCAAAATAATGTTTCGCTGTGCTTCAGAAAGTATCTGCAATGCCTTCAAAGGAACTTTATTGAATCCACTGAGGACGAGGATTTGAAGTTTCCCACTATAAAAGAGCATTTTGCAAAGCGAAATTCTGAGTCAGATGTCATAGATCTGAAGTGTTGGTGATTTTTTTATTCTTTTTTAAAGTTGAGCATAAACATAAACTTGATGCAGATAGTTTTCGATCAGAGAATTTGACAATAACTTTTCAGATTTGTATAAACTATACTAGCTGACTCTGATATAATGGCTGATTTGATTATATGAGGAAAATAAAATCCCTTACTAGTAGAAGGCAACTTGCTTTTAAGGCCTCATTTAGACTTTGTTTGAGACAACTTTTTTTATGCTTCTTAAAGTAGTTTTTTAATAAAAAAATAATTTTTTTTTATTAAAAAGCTGCTTTAAGAAGCAGAAAGAAAGCTATCCCAAACGAAGTCTTAGATTTCATTTGAGATTGCTTTTTTATTGCTTTATAAAATTGCTGTCAGCCATAGCATCAGAAGTCTTGCATACAGTTCTTTGTTCATGTTATATTCATCTTTCTGAAATATTATTCTCCAGTAAATCAGTTTTACTTGGAGCTCAGTTACAAAGAAAACTATCAGGAAATTCTGTAAGACAATGCAGATGGAAAGGTGCTCTTGAAATGTGGTATTATCAGCAAACTGCCAAAAATCAAATGTAAATCATTCTTATGCATTCAGGATCATTAATGTGAATATTACAACAAAACCTTACAAAATACATGCCATATATCTTTATATTCTTTTCATTTTCCACTAGAGAGTTCATCTCTTAAACATGCAGAAAAAAGACCAAGCACTATTCTATATACGACCTTCAATAGAACCTCTGAAGAACATTCTTAGAGAAATTATTATATGAGGATGAGGAAGATGCGAAAGATGCACCCAATCAATCAGGAGCTAACATATAGCATCTGCAGCTCTGTACAAAACTCCTGATTACCTGCTTTCATCTTCCTCACCATCAACATCCACATAATAATTTTTCTTTTTCTAAACTAAACCTTACTATTCCCACTGTTAATTTTGGGGAACAGACACAAGAAATTTCCCAAAGAAACAAAATCAAAGTATCTAAATCTGTGATGCCAAATTATCATACACACTAAACTTTAGACCAGTTGTTCTTCACCTTAACATCCTTCACTTCCAATGTTTTCAAGCCATGTAACTAATTGCTGAGTTGATGGCCTGAGTTTTGGTGATTCACTGACACAAAGGCATGCAATCTCAAGTGCTCGAAAAAGCTGCCTTTCGATATTCTTATGGTATATAATAGGATCAAACACCTCAGTTTCCCTTCTCTCATTCATCTCAAGCACCCATAATAACAACTCCCTGCTTCCTTTTGGCTTGCTAATGTCTACAGGTCTTCGACCAGTGAGCAGTTCCAGAAGAACTACACCAAAGCTATAGATATCACCTTTGAAAGTAGCTATTGAAGCTTGGCTATATTCTGGAGGGATGTAGCCCAATGTCCCAACAAGGTCAGTAGTAACATGTGTATCATAGGGTAATATGAGCCTTGCTAGCCCAAAATCAGCCAAATGAGCTTCAAAGTTTTCATCCAGAAGAATATTACTTGATTTAATATCTCGATGTATTATATTTGGCTGGCATGAATGGTGCAGATATGCCAGTCCCCTAGCAGCTCCTTGAGCTATCTTAAGTCTTTTCAACCAACATAACATAGAGGCACCATCGGTTTTCTCATGAAGCCAGTAATCCAAGCTTCCATTTTCCATAAAAGAATAGATCAAGAGCCTATCTTTGCCAACCTTGCAATAACCCTGAAGCAAAACAAGATTTTCATGCTGTGCCATGGAAAGAGCTTCTACCTCAGCTTGAAATTCCCTTTCCATCTGATAAAAATCGCCTGACAGCCTTTTGATGGCCATCTTTCTTCCATCTTCTAGTGATGCTTTGTAGACCAAACCAAAACCTCCACACCCTATTAAAAAAGCTTGGTCAAAGTTGTTGGTAGATTTCAAAATAGCATGGATGCTTATCTCCTTGTTATCTTTGTTATGAAATAAAAGCACCAATCTAGATCCAGCTGCTTCTGAGCTACCATCAATGTCAGCCACCACTTTTGCATTCTCTTCTTGCTTTCTAGAAAGAAACCTTATTACAGCCAAGTAGATTATTACAAGGAGTACAACTATTCCTGTTCCCATTCCAATTGCTACTCCTACAATCGTAGCCTTGCTCTTCTGTTTTCTGCTTTGAGGATGAGGAGGTGTTTTGGATTGGCAGGGAGATAGATGAAAGCCACATAGATCCCGATTTCCTATGAAGTCAGAACTAGAGAAAGTTGAGAATTGGCCACCAGATGGAATGGGGCCAGCTAAATTATTGAAAGATACATCAAACCTGGACAAGAAGTTCAGTTTTGTCAGTGTATCTGGTATATTTCCAGATAGATTGTTGTAAGACAAATCTAAATTCTCCAAGTTTGCCATGCCTGAAAGCTCCTTAGGTATGGGCCCTGACAAATTATTCTTGTGCAAATCCAGGACTAGGAGCATCTTGAGATTCCCAAAACCCGGGAGAATAGGACCAACAAGTTTGTTGTTACTCAGAATCAAAGATGCTGGAAAGTTGTCAAAATTATTATATTGCAAAGCTTTTGCGGAAGCATTTCTCTTGACGAAGAACGGAAAATCCTGCATGGATGATGCTTGAGTAGATGCATTGGCATGAATGAAGCTCTTCAGCTGCATGAAACTGACCGGAATTTCTCCGGTAAGAGAATTATTTGAGATATCAAGATAAAAGAGATTATCAAAGACCCCCAACCATGGAGGAATCAACCCGCTTATTAGATTCCATGATATATCCAAGATATTCAACTTGGTGCTTCTACTCAACCATGGTGGTATATAACCAGAGAGACCACAGTTTGCAATGACAAGAACCTTAATATTAGTAAATCCATATATTCCTTCAACTGGCATAGTCTCACCACCACGAAAATTCAGTGTCAGGACCAAAATAGTAAGGTTACTGCAATGCTGTAGGGTTTCCAATGCTGAGGTTATATTGGTGAGGCTGTTGTTAGTGAGTGATAAGTAAAATAGCGAGTTGAGGAGCTTGAAGCTGCTTGGAATTTCACCTATCAGGTTGTTCTTAGCAAGATTTAACGAGTTTAGATTTGAACACTGTGAGAGGTTTTTGGGAATGAAGCCAGTGAGATGATTTGAGCCCAAATCAAGGGTGCTTAGCATAGACATAGAAGCACAGTTCAAATTTATCTCCCCACTCAGGGAGTTATTCCTAAGATTAAGCACTCTAAGATTTGCCAAGTTGGAAAAAGAACTTGGCAAAGTACCATTGAAGCCATTAGTCTGGGCAGAAAATGACTCCAAATTGCTGAGTTTATCAAAGACATTGGGAATAAATCCTATGAAATTGTTCACAGAGAGATCCACCTGAACAAGGCTAGAGAGATTACCAAATCTTTCACTTAATGAACCAGATAGGGTATTCTGTTGCAAATGCAGATATTTCAAAGATTTCAAAGTAAACAAATCATCAGGCAAGCCCCCAGAAATTTCATTCACATCAAGGGAGAGCTGAACAAGGGACCTGCAGTTTCCAAAGCCCACCGGAAACTGATTTGAGAAATAGTTCATTGAGAAGATGAGTTTTTGTATCTGAGAAGATGAACCACAAATATCTGCTTTAATCGGACCAGAAAAAGTATTGTTACTGACATCCAAAGCCATGAGTTCTACAGAACTGGAGAAGCTTGGAAGGGTGCCGTTAAACAAGTTGTTTGAAATGTTGAAACTTTTGATAGATGGAAGGCCTATCTCAGGTGGAAAGGATCCAGAAAGCTCGTTCATGCTAAGATCAAGAAACTCCAATTGAGTGAGAAGAAAAAGCTTGGCTGGGACAGAACCACGAAGAAAATTGAACGATAGATTGAGATTTAGGATATGATCAAGGCCGGCAAGACTATCTGAGAGTGAACCATGAAGCTGCTTTTGAGCTAGATCCAATCCAATCACTCTTCTTCCATTGAAAAACAGAGAATCGCAGCGGACTCCAGGCCAGCTGCAGCAGTCAGAAGACGACGACGAAGAATTACTTCCCCATCCTTGGATAGGTGAGTCTAGGCCGGCCGAGAAACTCAGAAGCGCGCTCAAATCACCAGAGTCACAGGCCTGGCCCAACGAAGCCAACAGAAGAACCAGGGAAAATAAGAATACAAACGACAAACACCTTGTCCGCATCGCTAACGAGCCCAAAACTCCTCCCCAGCTTTGCAGAAGAAGGAAGATGACCTATCTCACCTAAATGAAGCTCCTTTTCAATTCAGAAGTTTTGAAGAACAAATCCCATTTCATCTTCCCAAAGAATTCTTGCATGGCTTCCAGCAGAAGTACAGTTTAAATACAGAAAAGCAAGCAGGTGAGAAGAACGCAACGAGAAAAAGATGAAACTTGCCAGAGAAGAAGAGAAGAGGAAGAAGATGACAACCAGTGCGTAGAAATGGAAATATAGAGAGGCTGAGAGAGAGAAAGTACGAAGAGACTCTTGGCTTCAGGTCTTCTTTCTCCATTCTAAGTTCTTCACTCTCTTTCTCTCGCAATTGTTGAACTAAAACAAACGGCAAAGACTTTCTTTCGATACTTTATTTTATACGTAGGAGCAGATAGATTCCATTAATCAACTATCCATATAGGAGGAAGATGGTGACAGACTAAACGGGAGCAGGTGACCGGTGGGGTTAAGTACGGCGCGCGGCGACGGCGCCGCCGACGGACGAGTTCAACGGTCAAAGGTAAATGTAAATGCAAGCACTTTACTGTAAAATATTAGAATAATTAATCATAATTTATATTACATTAAAAATGAATTTAATAACATTAAATGATTATAGCTCTTTTTGAAGATAATTTAAACAAATTTTGTTTTTAAAATTTAATAATTAAATATTATTTATATCATATTTATATTTTGATACTTAATATACTAATTTTTTATATTTACTTATTCACCACATCGATGTAATGAAAATATGTGTTTAATATAATTTAATATTAAGAAAATAATTCTAAATGTTATTACAAATTTTTTTTTTCCTTTGATCATTATTATTATTTTTATAATAAAATTATGATATTAAATAATATGATTAAAAAATAAAAAAAAATCAGGCAAAATGAAATACCAATCAAAGAAGAATGAAGAATAAATTCTTCATAAATCAGTTCAGACAAAATGAGAATAAATTCTTCATCAAAGCAAAATAAAAGCAAAGACTGACCTCAGCCATCAAGGCTTTTGTAAGTCTTATGACTTGCGTTGCAGGTTAGAATTTTAATCATAATAGAGAGAACTAATTTTTTTTAAAAGTAGCGAAAAAATAGTGGCCGAAAAAGTAGTGGTCAAAATCTATCCCAAATGAAACCTTAAGATGTCAAAATTATTATTGGGCGATAATGACCATACAGTAACTAACATATACAAAAAAAAAGTGATTGTCGACGAGGAATGTTGAAAGTAGGGGTGTCAATATTGGACACGACCTGAAAACCTGACTTGAATCCAACACAACAATTTCGGGTTTGAGTCGACCAGAATAGGGTCAGGTTCAGATTAGAGATTTTGACCTGTTTGCAAAAATCAATCGGGTTGGGTTTGTAATATCAGTTTTTGCTCCAGGTTCGTCCGGACGAAGTCGGATCGTCCGGGACGATCGGTACAGGTTGTGCAGAGAAAATCATGTTTGGCTGTATGGTTCGTTTGGACGAAATCAGGATCGTCTGGACGAAAATAAGTCAGAGAACCCTTCGCCGGGGACGATATTTGATTTTCGTCTGGACGAAATAATTCTCTTCATGGATCGTCCGGTACGAAGCTCGATCGTCCAGGACGATCAGTCTGGATATATATAGAAATGAGATATTTTGAAGAGAGAGAAAAAGTTGAGGAGAGAGAAAAACGAAGGAAAAAGTGGAAAAGTGGATTTTCGGACGACGCGGAGCCGTTTTCATCCGAAGTGACTGTTGAGGAAATTGCTGTACTACCTCACCCACATAGAAATTTTGATTGATCACTTTATTTTTTTTAACAAATATATAATGCTCATGATTGTTCTTTGACTTTCATAGAATAAAAAAATTATAAAATATATTTTACTCTATAACAAAAAAATATTTCAAAAATTAATATATTAATATGCAATACTTTAATAATTTTATGAGCAGAAATATTAATTTATAAAACAACTCATATTATTTTAATTATAATATAACAATTTAATTTCTATATATTAATTAAAATATAACAATACATAGCTGAAAAGAATATTAAAATCTTCTAAACTCTTATATTATGATATTTTTGTGAAAAAATAATAATAATTTAGGATTGGAATTCTTTCTGCCCCACCACAATGCCTTAATAAACTAAATTGCATTTCCTTAAATAATTGATTTATAAAATACTAATTTTAAATTATTATAAATAAGAATAATATTTTATTTTATTTTATAAGTAAAGATTATTATTAGAAAATGAAGTTAATCAAAGGAATTAATGATTGATTAATACTTTTAATTAGTATTTGAGCAAATTAGCTAAACCTTCTACCATAATTAAGCAAGTTTAATTACTGAACTTGTTAGATTTATGTCCACCAATCCTTTCTTTGATTCATGGGAAGGGCACTCCCAAACCCCAATCCTCTTAAATAATTAATTTATATAAAAAATAGTGTACACAAAAACCTTAAAAAATTTGTATTGCACTAATTTTAAAGTAAATTCAAGATAAATTATAGTTTAGCTTTGGTGGGGAAATGGTCAAGAAAAGAAAAAAAATATAAAACTTTGGTTTCATTCTTTATCATGAGCAACAAATAGACTCATATTTATAGCCAAAATGGGTGAGGGCAAACTAAAAACCTTCATCTAGATCACTAGAAATTCTCCTAAAACTAATTAGTTTATAAGCTTAAAAGAACCTTCATGGAGAATGGTTAGACAATCTCAAAAGATAGGAGCAAACTTCTCATAAAGTTCAATGAAAAGTTGATTGTTTGAAAATTTTCATGAAATAATGATATATTCACGATGATTCTTTTTTTAATAGGAGATAATATAATAAAAATTTCTTAAAATATCATTCTATTTTATATTTTTTGCAAGTTGGACAAATATGGACAGGGAGTCAAACACGTCCTTGACAATTTCCCTAAAGCTTCGACATGCATGCACCAACAATATCTCTTTTTACGTAGTCTTGACTATTTCTCCCTTCTGTTTTTGTAAATGTTCCGATCTTAAGTGAAAAATAAAGAGGCTTTAAAGAGTAAACTAAGCCTCCTGATCAGATAAGTTAGTGAACCAGGTTCAAACTAGTAATGTTGCCGACGCCACCGCTTAGAATCCACATATCCCTCAAACTTGAACAAATTTAGCATATAATCATGCATTTCTACTTGATGAGGGGGAGAAAAAGAGAGTCCATATCCCCTTTTTCAAATGAGAGAAAGTTTGATGAAGAGGACCATTGGATTCCATCTACTTTTTAACCACAAAGAGAGAGACAGACTAAATGAGCAAAGAAAAGTATTCAACCCCCCTCAAACATATAAGACATTGATATTCCACTAAGCTTCTCTACTTTAACTTTTTCATGTGATAACATTAAGCACTCCACACTGAAAGCTAGTGAGAATCCTTTCCACCTTCACATTCTTCCAATAGAAAATAGCAACAAAAGCAACCAAATGAACCTCTCTTATTAAACAATTCAGCAGCCCCATTGATTTGCTTGGTAAGTATCTGCCTTTCCTTATCACAAAAGAAAGGGTGGTGGAGAAGTAGTGGGAAGATGAAAAGGAATAGAGATCCCACAAGGAAATGCCCCTTCTGAGAGCAGATACTTAGCTTCAGAATGTAGCTAGCTGGCTACAATGAGATGAATTTAATAAGAAAAATAAACTTTAGAAGGTGACATGTCATAAGTTCCTTGCCATAATACACGGAAGCGAAAGTCTTGTATACTTAGGTTTTGTTTGAGACTGTTTTTTTGTTGCTTTTTAAAACAGCTTTCTAATACAATTTTTTTTTTAATTATAAAATTTTATACTGAAAAGTCATTTAGGAAGCAGTACAAAAGCTGTCCCAAACGAAACTCTAATCCTTCCATGGGATTATTATGGCTTCATAATTTTCAATGGATGACAATAAGTTTTAAATATGATTTTATAATTCATTTCAGCATTGTTTTGAACATATTTTATAAAATATAAAGATTGAATTAATTTTTAAAATATAAGGGGTAAAAATCAATTTTAATTTGACTCAAAATCAAATGATTCCAAGCTTAATCAGCTCAAAATCAACTTAATTTTAATTTAAAATTGATTTTAAGTCAAATACAAATCAAAAATTTTTATTCAAGCTAAATATAATTTAATTCACATTTGACTCAACATTAGACCTTGTAGTACCAACAAACACATAAAAATATATTAAAAAATATGTCATCATCAACTCGAGGTCTAAGTGAGTAAAGTTAACTCGAGAGCCGGCTCAAGCTCTGCTCAATATATGGCTTGTGAACCAAACTCCACAAGCTAACAAGTCAAATTTAAAATATATATCTTGCTTTCTTATATTAAGTGATTCTTTATTATTTTTCCTTCCATTTTCTCACTTTTTTATCATTTTATTATAATACTGACTTGAATCATAATTATGTTTTCTCCATAATAAGTAAACTGATTCTAACTCGTAAAAAAAAGTTCTAGCTAGACTCGTTTACACCTATAGATAAGAAAAAATTATTATGTGTGGACACCAGACCGTTCGGAGGCGAATTAGAACGCGCCACGTCACCCGACACACAACATAATACAATCGCGGTAAAAAAAAGAGAGGCGACACGTTCTAATTCGCCTTCGGACAACATTCATATCCGCACAAAATAATTTATCCTAGATAAAGAGCATCAATGAGATATTATTGTATTTCTTTCTGTCTTTTTCTAATTAGTGTTATCAAGCAATATTAGAGAGAAAATGGACTCACCACTATCACAATCATATAAACACTTACAGGAAGTTTCTGCAAGTTTCATATTATAAAAAACAAAATAATGCAGCACTGAATGTTCTGTAAGTGGAGTTTTCTGTGCTGCCATGATATTGTGGAGTCTGTCAATGCATGCCTGAAAATTTTATCATCAATAACTTAGCACATATATTTCTAATTATCATTCCACCATCACATCACATTAAATAATAGGTAGTGCTTCCTACTCAGTAAAGATTTTTTTAAGAACTCTACATTGTTTTACGAGAAATTAATACGTGCGTCATGTCATCATTTTACTGTGTAATACTAAGTACTGGATGATATGGCGCATCCTGATTCGCTTCTGAACGGTCTAGTAACCGCATGTAATAATTTCTCTTGTTCTACACATGCTACAGCTGGTTTCTCACTTGAGTAATCTTCTTAATTTGTGAGAAAGACACAAAGCATAGCAGAATGGACTCTTTATATGTTATGATGTTCAAATATGGAAAGATATTTGCTAAGAATATTGAAAGAAAAAGAGAAAAATCTAATCATCTATGCTCTTAAAGCCTTTATCTCATAACATGAGATCGGGTACTTGAATCTTTTTTCTCCATTGTGTTATGTTAAGAATCAAATTTACATTTAAATATTTGGAATAACATGCAAAATAAATGAAGATTTAAATTTTATTAAAATTTGACCTATTTAAAGTGGATATGGAGAACATAAGAAATAGTATCAACCATTAAAAAAGTGTAATGAAAAAAAATTATAAATTATAATAACTAGATAAGAGGTGAATATTAAGAAAATAGAACTAGTAAATTAAAAATATAATAAAATGAAAACAATAACAAAAAAATTTGAAACAAAGACTTCATTTGAGATAGTTTGTTTATTGTTTTCTAAAGCAGTTTTCTAGTAAAAAAATTTTAGTTTAAAAAAATTTTATATTAAAAAATTGTTCTAAGAAGCATTAAGAAAATCATCCCATGACATGATTGAATGAGATATGAAAAGCCGTATCAATCATAAAGCATAAGATTATAATATGCGTAATATAGTTTGAAATATTAATTACAAGTTTTTTTTTAATACTTTCCAAAAGAAAAAAAAAAATTGAAGTTTTTTCAAACAGTTCTCAGGAAAAAACATTATGCATGCCGTACCTAAATTTGCTAATTAAGCTATGCCAACAGAGGGATATGAGAACAACACAGTTAATCAAACAGAAATACCTACTAAGAAAAAAAAAAAAATTCATGCAAGAAAAAACTAAGGTTTCGTTTGTGACGACTTTCTTCCTGTTTTTTAAAGCGACTTTCTTAATGCTTTCTAGAACAAAAATTTTAATTTTTTAATTAAAATGCTATTTTAAGAAGCAGTAAAAAAGTCGTTCCAAACCTTAAAAACCATGACTAAGAGAGAATACAGTTTAACAGGCATACTGGTTATAACTTTGATAAGTTGGCTCTACTTCAATGAAGCTAAAAATAGAAGGAAATGAAATGGATTTGTTAGTCACTGACTAACATGTAAACTCATATTCACTTGAGTCAAGTTGATCAGATTGAATCTGGTTCATCAAGTCATTGAATATGAACCAACTTGAATTGCCTACAAGATGATTTTCACTAAGCTTGAGCTCGCTCAAAACCTTGAATCGTCTAAAGCTACAATTTGTCAAGATGCCCAAGAGATGAGCCTCATTTGATCGCCTAAAAAAACATTATTTTAATTGAATATTATTACATAAGGAATAATATAATGTCTTAAAAAATAGAATTAAAATTTTAGAACATGATGTAAAATTATAATTTAGCATGAGCATGATGTAAAATTATAATTTTGTCCAAAATTCTATCCCAATTTTTTTTTCTAGATTCTATGACAGTTTCTCTCTCATAAAATTATCTTTTAGCTTGATTTGACTGGCATTTTCTCGATCCAATGGCTCAGACTTCGTTTGGGACGGCTTTGTTACTGCTTCATAAAGCAGCTTTTTAGTAAAAAAATTCATTTTTTGAACTAAAAAGCCCTTTAAAAAGCAATAAGAAAGCCGTCCCAAACGGGCCTCAATCACCAGGTTCTTTATAAACCAAAATCATTCAATAGAATCTCCAAACCTTAATCACTCTCCTCTCTCGTTCTTTCTTGATCAGCTCAATTTGCATTTCAGTAATATCGATCGTTCTTTCATGAATATTGGATCCAACAATCCTGATTGTTTCTTCTTAGATCTCTGTAAAAAGACTGCCAGTGCAAGAGATACGTCAAATAATCCTCCTAATTTGTAATTTAAAATGCTCATTCATCTTTGCTATCTAAATCTAATTTGAGAGATCTGTTTGGCAGCGCTTTTCAAACAAATAGAACCAAGCAATATCGAGCCCATTGTTTACTAAATTCATATGAACAACCCACACGAGAAAATATGGTCAAAAGATTTAATATACATTACATATGAACCTAGTGAACCATTACAGTAAACCATTCTAAATGCAATTTTAGAACACTTCAAGCAAATAAGGACCAATACACTACCAAGTATAAAACATTCCCTATGTGTAACATAGGTTCATTTGCACCAAAAAGCATAACTTAACTGTCTATGATGAATGAGATCAGAGGGCAGTTCATGAATGACAAGATAAAATCACTAATTAAACTTAATTGTATAAACAAAATACTGAAAGATAATATTTGATTTAAACTAGGAAGAAATAGTGTAATCTGATTAACCATAATTTGATTATGGTTTCAAGTTTCAGCCCAAACACAAGTTTGATCGGTTCAGATCGAGAACTTAAACCGGCCAAAAATTTTGTATCGATAGATTACCGCTAGTTTCAATGGTGTTTCAATTTGAAACTGCCAACCTATTGAACCAATGAAGCAATTGAAATTACTGAAACCCAACTAAAATTCAGCCAAAACCATCAAAGCTCTTCAAAATCATCAAAACTCAAACAAATAACATTATTTATATGATAACAAGATTTATAAAAAAAAAGATTTTTTTTCCTCTGAAACTAGTAAGGCTACAAAGCTCTACGTTGGTGTTAAACCAAAATTGCATTTATATAACTTTATTTTTTGAACTATTGACTTAGGGTTTGTTTGGGATGCATACAGTTATCATGATTAGTTGTAGAATTGTTATGGAAAAAATAAAATATTTGAAAGTTATTGTGAGTGTTATAGTACTTTTTATCTTAAAAAAAAGAGATCAAATTTCATAGAACCATCAAATTTCGATAGATTTGATTGTATAGAATTACATCTCATAATAAAAATCATTTAAAAATAATAAAAAATTTACAGTCAAACAAAAATATCAAAAAAATCTGTGATACGAAGATGTTAAAAAACTATTCTAAACACACCCTTGAACCTAAATAAAGCTGTCTCAAATCTAGAAGCTTATTTTTATGAAATATTAAGGAAGCAGAAGTCCAACAATCAGAACCAATTATATTAACTGGCCCTACTTTGTATCAGCACAAAATTAGTGTACAACATTATTCCATCCATAAGAAGCAATACAAAGTTTAAACAGGCAGATAAGAAAGATTAGAGCATAATTGATCGGCGATACAAGAAGATGCAATAGGTACATGAAAGTTTCAAATAGTTAACTCTGACCTTGAAATTAGAATACCATCAGTGTCAGCATAAAGCCACTCACGATCACAAATTCTGGTTCCAGCAATGTTCAAAGAAACATGTTTCTCTCCAATTCCTTTCTTATTAGCCTTCATAGGATGAGATGCCAGAGCTCTGACACCTATATCACATCCATTGATCTCATCAACATCCCTGATGCAGCCGTTGACGACTATACCAGACCACCCATTGTTCTGAGCTTGTTGAACCGGATTGCCACCTAATATGGCACATCTCATGCTTCCACCACCATCTACAACTAAGACTCTGCCATTTCCTTTCTCTTCAAGAAACTCACGCACAAGAACATTGTCCTCAAAAACCTTAAGAGTCACAACTTGACCGGAGAAAACCTGTCTCCTTCCATAGATTTGGAAGGTTGGATGAAGTGCACGAAGTTCGCCATTCAAGATCAGATGTGGATTTGCATCACATAATTCAGCAGTTGCCAATGGCAAAGCAGACATTGAAAATTTCTGTCATTTATTGAAAGAAGTATCGTAATAACTCAATTTTAATTTGAATTATGAGTATAATCAGTGAAGCATCAGATTTAAAAACCAACATTCATGCACAAGAACCTAAATGTGAGAAATTACAAGCTACAACATACTTAGATTTTATGAAGCACAAACCCTGACACGAGACACAAACATGAGGACAAAAAAATTTTAAAAGTAGGACATGCAATGAAAATGATATTCTTTTATAAATGATTAATATAAAATGTCTAATAAAAACTTTAACAACTATATTTTCTACATAAAATATTAAAAATATATAATTATAACATATATATAACTTTAAAAGGCTAAAGGCCAACAAATAAAAAATAGTAGTTTAATTACAATTATATTTTAATATTTTAGCCAATGTAATTAATTGCAACGAACACATCAATATTATATTATCCCAATAAAATGCTAAAAGAATATTATTTAATCTTCAAATGTACAAGAATAAGAGCACATTGATGTACCCCCAATTAGATAAACATTCATGGCAATATGTTCTTCAATAGAACTTTTAACATCATCAATATAAAATTTAGTTTAATAAAGTAGCTCATTAAGAGAAAAGGGCTTCAACGTCACCACACTGCTCGACCATGTTGTGGTGCTTGGATGCATTAGGCATGTCCTAATTATATCTGATTCTAGGCATATGTGAGTGTATGTATACATGTATGTATGTAGATATATTTAACAGATAGTTGCCGCCAAAACAAGTAAAGTTGTACCTCAAGGATCTCGACAATGAGGACTCGTCATAGAGTTATAATCCCCAACTCAGCCTAATAGTCAAAGGTGAGTCACCTTCCATAGGAAAGCCAGGGATTCACATGGATCACATAGATCAGGACTCGCCTCTTAATTAGTGAGAAGCACCCGCCAAATTCACTTGCCGCTACCTAAGATGGAATGTCATCAACAATATCCATCATCCAAAATGCAGAAAAGGATCATTTTAAGAGGGTACTAACTTGCCCCATCACAGTCAGCCAACCATGAAGTCTACTTCCTCTATAGATTGAATAGACCCGCATTCCACATCGACACAATCCAGAGCTCTATCAAAAAGGCCGCCAATGACTTTGAAGCACTCGTCAAACACAACCTTTTAGTTCGGCCGTCACTAGAAGACTTACCTACTTCTAACTCGCTATTATGCACTCAGTATAGGGGAACTAGTCTCAAAGCATAGGGATCAAAATAAGAGATATGACCATTCACCAGGTCAGACAGAGCATGAAATGTGTTCAGGACAATTCGTACTAGGGTCATTAATTATTGTTCTTTTTACACTTTTTTATGTAATCTTTCCTGTAACTCTCGGATCCCTATAAATAACAGGTGAAAAGGAACATTTTGAATCTTTTTTTTACACTTTATAAAGAAGCATTCAAGCTAGTAAAGTACTTTTTCCACATAACTTTTCTCTTCTCTTTCCATTCTTTTCACAAGTTCTCTCATTATCATTTCTTTGCTATTAAGGTCGGATGTCACCACAGACAAACTTGGATCAAACAATATGTATGCATATATGACACAGTGAAGAAAGACTATTGAAGTGTTTGTAATTCATAGCTTAAGTTACATTGGGTAGGGCGAAATGTTAGTGTTGTGATGACATCAATAACCGCACCAATTAAGCCCCATTTGGCTTATTTTTTATGCCCATGATAAGCAGGGCGCAGTGATGATATCTTTCATATGTAGCTTAGGACAACAAATCCATATGTACTAAATTACAATTTGTTCAATGACATGGGTTTAAGGAGGGTGTGGTGATTCTTGAGTCTTTTCACCTTCAATGCTTTCAATTTCACTTTTGAAATCTTCTCAGTATTGGGAGTTCTCTTTTTTCCGTTGTGGATTTATAGTTTTCATCTCCTAGGGTTTGTCAGTGCCCTAGGTTTTCTTTTTTAGCCATGGTAGATTCTTCATTGCTTGCAAAGGAGCTCGATGAAGGACCTTCTACAAAAAATGTGTGTTGTTCTGATTGTAAGGCTCCTCAGGTAGCTCGTTCTTTCAAACATGCATTAACAGGCTATGCATCTCCTTGGCCTCTTTGGTCGGATCTTTCTCCTTCTACCTTAGGAAGGCTATTTTGATTTTTGATGAGGAAATAAAAAGTTTATTAGCTTTCTTTAAGTTCTCTTTGATTGCTAAATTTTCTCTTAAACAAACAAATTTGGATTCCATCATAAAACTTTTCTTGAATATGAAGCTCATAAAATAAATTTGGATTCCATCATAAAACAAATTTGGATTCCTATTAGCTGTTTGGATTCCTTGCTGGCTTCTTGTTTTTCCTGCTGATGGCTGCTCGATTTTCTCTTTGCTGATTCCTATGTAGGAAGTTTTAATGTGAGATGAATTTGGTTGTTCTAAGTGGCTATTTTGGTGACACATTTATGTGATCTATTAAATGCTATTCCCCTTTATTTCTCCTATAAATTGAGGTTGAATTCCATTGTGCAAAAAAAAGTTTTGGAATGCGATCAATTAAAAAAACCTGAGAGTTTCTTCTAAGCTTGCGAGCTATCTTCGACCTTCCCACTACTTCTTCGTCTCGGTCTTCTTTCTATTCTTCTCTACACGGTTTTCCTTTCATGTGTATATTTTTTCTGTAAACTATCATGAGTGGTGATGTGCCCTATTCTTTTGGTATTTGCCGGAGGAGCAAAGTCTTGTGTTGAATCATAATTTCAATGGTGGATCATTGGTTTGTCATTTCCTTTGAGCACCTTTTCATATTCTATGTTTATACGTGAGGTGATCATTTGTGGTTATTCAGAGGGTTTATTGTTTATGTGTTTTGTTATATATTATTTTTTAGGCAACTTCCTAACAAATTTTCCACATTAGTTTTTTATTAAGTTTTCATCATTTGGTGTTTTTTTATGTGTTATCGAAAGGAAGTGTTTTATTTGCATACATAGTGTTCTCTTAATTGATTTAAAAACTTAGGTTGCATCAGCAACATTCAATTGGTTTACTTGATGTAAAACACGTGCTTACTAACGAATGATCTTGATTACAATACAATCTTTTATATAAGATCTTATTATCTTAATGACTACCAAATGTGTTTATTAAAATGGACTTCATTTTTGACATGACCGAAGAAACACCAATTATTCGTATTTGGTTATCTTTACCTAATATGCAGATTCACTTGATTAATTATCACATTCTTGTTGTTGTTGCTTTAATATTTGGTCATATATTGCAAATTGATCATGCAACTACATCTTCATCCTGCCCCGTTTTTCCACGATTCCTCGTTGAGTTGGAAGTGTCTGCCAAACTTCCTAAGAAACTTTGGCCAGGTTATGAAAAATACAGGTATGCTAAAAAAGTGGCGTTATAAAAATTTCCTCCTTTATGTCTCATAAAAAAATTCACGGGCATATTAAATCAAAATGTTTTGTGTTGCATCCTAGTTTAAAGAAAATTGTTCCTCAACCTCTCACGGAGGATAATCAAGTTGTGGATGTGGAAGTTGATGTTGCATTGGTTAAAGATGGTTTGTAAAGGATACCTATCAAACAATATTTTGCTGAAAATGCCTCTAATAATGATCTTGGTGCTAACTATTCTTTGCAAGAACATGGAGCTAATTCTACTAATAAGGGGTTGGAGAAAGATGTGTCGAGTAATGAGGTTAATGCTCCTCTTTTGGAGGAATCTCCAAATCCTGCTGCTAGTCTGATTTATTAATAAATCCAGGATTTAGAATTGAATTCAGCAAATCATGCTTCATATCATATTTACACAAACCAGGATTTAATGAGATTTAGGGAATTAATCTGGCTTAACTAATTGCAGTCTAATTCCACCTAACGTTAAATCCTATTTTTGTAAATTTATTATTAGAGAAGACCATTTATCTATAAGAACGAAAGCTGTCAAAATCCACCAAACTTTGGGAACCAAACACACTCTGAATCCAATATCTATAGCAACAATTAAAAAAAAAAAAAAGACCATTATGTTCCATAAGAACAGTACAGCTAAATCATCACTGGAATGGTTCATCAAAACAGTCACGGAAACCAAAACTGATTTAAACCATCAACAATAAGCACACCATTCCATTAAGAAGTAAGGATCTATGAACAAGAACCCTATCTATAAAAAAAAAAAAAAAAAAATCAAATCGCAAGCTGGAGCTCAGATCTCGCAGGTTCATACCTCCGCGAGGCTTCTTTAGAGCTGGCGAGGACGAGGATTGAAGTGTTTCACTGACGTGATTTCGTTTGGGTATTTAGTTTAGAGAGATCAGACATCTCATAGTGGCAGCGAAGATGGAGACGGTGGGAATGGGCCTCTTTGTGCATTGGCCTCTCCGGTCTGCTCGCTTCCAACAATGGCAGTTTTGAAATTAAATTTAAATGTTTCTATAATGAAAATAAATAAATATATAATTGAAAGTTTTCTCTCCCCACCCACATTAATTAATTTATTTTTAAATATTTTTTTGACAAAGTCATCTAATTCAAATATATTATAAATTATTTTCTTTATTTATATATCTAATATCTAAATCTTCATATTTTTTTATAAAACGCTCTAATAATTAAATCATATCAAAATTTATATGTAAAAAGATATATTTTACTTTAAGTAAATTAATATTAATAATATTTTAATATTGTTTATAGATAAGTGCATTATTTAAGTAAATATAAAACTTAAATATTAGAGTATATAAATATATAAAAATTTAATTATATATACTATTATATATTTATATTTGTGCTCCCAGGATGTCAGTAAATGCAAGCTAACCTGGACCCAACATGAAAAATAAAACATAACCAATTTAATAAATGAGTCGGGTTCGAGTCTATAAATTAGATTCGTTTAATTGGCAGCTAGGTTTCAACTTTGACTCCAAAGTGTGTCATTTAATTTTTTCCGTAAATTTTTTTGCTAGATGGTATGCTCTTCTTATTTTTATTCAACTAACATAAATTCTATAGTCAACATGTTATAAATTTTTTTAATCAAAATAGTTTTTTGGGTCTAGTTTGAGTCTAGTTTTTTACCCATTTATTAAACATGTCAGACTTGGGTTGACTATATTCAGATCAAGTTTATTTTGATTTTGGACTGAACTGGAACCCGACCTATTAACCTATTTTGACACCTCTACCTTCCTCTAGTTGATTCAAGTTCAATGACTTGAAACCAAGCTCTCAACATGTAGAAATTATTCTGTGCGGACACCGAACGCAGTTTATCATTCAGAGACCAACTAGAATGCATCACGTCACCCCCTGACCATTCCGATTGGTCTTTGGACAGCGTTCGACATCTGCACAGAATAATTTCTCCTAACCATGAGCCAAAAGTTGATCCAATTTTAGTTTTTTTTTTATTCTTTTATGGTTGAGAAGAAAATTAAAATTAGAAAAAATTAGAAAAATATTTTTTAACCAAATAATATAAATCATAAAAACATTAAATTGATCTAATTAGTTTTGATGAATGATTATAATACTAAATTACAGTAATAAGTAATCAAAGTTTAACTGTTTAAGCAAATATAATTCCAAAGAGCTCAATGGGTTGATGAGCTTCATTTTCAAATTTGAGTTACTTAAGGATTAGGTCATATTCATTCAAGGTTGTGCATTTAGAATTGAAGTTGACATATTCATTAATGAGAGTTTAAGAATGCACAACATAGCTCTAAGCTTTTTAATTTATATTTTAAGTGTGTTTGGGATAATATATTACTCTACTTGATAATCACAGCTCAAGTATCATAAATATTAAAATATTTTAGCACTTAGTCTTAGCTTTTAGCAATACCAATTCAAAATATTGTTTAGTTTAGTTATATATATTCATTCTTTAGATTATTTATACAACAACAATAATAAGTCTTTATCCCACTATGTGAGTCGGCTATATAAATTCTTTTTCTTCGTTGTGTCTTGTTAAGAGTCAAATTCACATTTAGATATGATAAAAAAGATCATTTCTAATATTTTCTAACCAAGTGTGACACATGCAGATTCAGTATCTGGATTGATCTGTTTTGACCTTATTGGAAAAAGCTGCAAGAAAAGGATTTGGAGAGAAAAAAGGATTTTTAGCCATTTTTTATCGTTTTGTCCGTCGGCCCAGTTCAAAATATTTTACAGATAGAGGTATGTCACATTACACCTATCTCAGTTTTTAAAAATATGATGTTTCTATATAATTTTTCAATCAAATTTTTATTTCAGTTAGCAAAAATGCTGATAACTTTACATTGATAAAAGTTTCACCACGTAACTTTTTATATATTATAGAGATTATGATTATACACATTTTAAATATTTTCAAAAAAATTTATAATGGGTGTTTTAAAATTTGTAGGATTTTATTGAATAAAAAATTATATGAACTCTAAAAAATAGTGTTGTAGTACGATAGAGTTTTAAAATATTATTTTACACAATCCTTAATAATTTAATTTTTTTTATAAAAATTTGTATTTTTTCTAGTAGGATTTTTTATTACCTATCATTATAAAAAACTATGCAATTTTGACACATGCTCAATTACACTTTAATTGCTATATGTGATGATATATGCGCATATGCTAATAAATTTTATCTTTTGAGAGCTAGAATGGGCCAAAATCTTTTAAGATTTTATTTGTATCAGGGAATATTCTTATGCCTATAAGGTACATTCTGGTGGCTACAAGCTATATTATGGTCCATACAGATATATTCTGGTTCTATAAGTACAAAAAGGGAGTCATAAGGGATCAGAATTCTTTTAAATTCTATATGGGTCCGTGAAATATGATATGAACTACTGTATGATATAAATTGCAATTTATTTATCTATCCAATATGGTAATTTAAATAATTGGATAAGTCTTATGCTCCGATTATATTTCTTAGTATAGTAATTTATTAGACTATTTTTAACAGCTTTTAAATATTCAACAAAATATTTAATAAAAGAATTTAAAAATTTAGATTAATTTGTATGACTTGTTGAGCTGTTGTAGCTCACCGTGGTTTGCTTGTGATTTTCAAGATCTAGAAAGGGGAAAGAGATGATTGATTAGTAGTTTAGGATTTAATTTGAGATTATAAGTATTTATCTGTTTTAATTTTTGTACAATCATGACTAGTTTATTATTCAGTTTTATACTTTCTGTGTGTAGTCATGTACCATAGTGTAGATATATTTTGATGAGATGAAAGAAATATTGTGGATGAGTTTATCTTTAGTATTTAGTAGCTCTATAGCCTTTAGTTTATTTAAAATGATATTGGAAGAGAATATGAAATATTTCAAAATTAGATCTTGATATTTTCCTATAACAGCTCAACACGATAGGGTATGTCCTGGTTGGATTTGGTTGTGACACCAATTCTTTTAGATCTACCTCTATCTTTTTTAACATATACCAAATCTAATATATATACTCGCCCAATCGGGACATCAGAAGACCAACATTTTATGTGACCAAATCATCTAAGACGGCTCTCTCTAATCTTATGTGCCACTAGAGCTACTCCAACCTTTTCACGAATATACTAGTTTCGCATTCTATCCATAAGAGTGAAGCCACTCATCCACCTGAGCATCTTCATCTCTACAACGCTTAACTTAATTTTATGCTTCTCTTCTAATGACCAACATTCTGCGTCATAAAACATTGCTGGTCTCACCACTATCTTATAGAAATTTTCTTTAAGTTTGAGGGCACTTTTCTATCACACAACATGCTCAATGCATTCCTCCACTTTAGCCATCCAACTTGAAATCTACTAATAATATCCCTATCTATTACACATTCACTTTGAACAATAGACCGGAGGTTATCTATAATAACTGTAAATTATATTTATTGTCCCTTTTATATGTTGATGTGACCTCGTAAAACGTACAATGAAATTTTAAGAACTATAAGAAATGATTTTAGATTTATAAAAAAATATGGAGGTCACACAAAATTTAAGATGATATTTAAGGATTGTATAATTTGCACTCTAGTAATGTTTTATACGTGAAAGATTTTTTTATTCATTTTATTGTATTCATCATTCCTATAAATCTCTATGATATTTTGACTTCAAAAAATTTTGAGTTCTTAAATAGAAACTCATTGAATCCCTTAGCATTCATTCAAATATTTATAAATCACAATGCTTCAAAACTAGAAATACATTCTATGTTGTACTTTATTGATGTAAAAGCTACTTAAGAAGCTATTTTTTGTAGTTTTAATATTAGTTTTGTTTTTTTTTTTTTAAATTTTGTTGTAGCTTGTGGAAGTTTGTTCCATGCCCTTTGTTATGTGGGTTATTATAGTTTGTGTATACTGATTTTGTATTTACTATGTGGTCTTATTTCACTCACTACTCATGCACATGCATTATTTTGAGCGAGTTACAATTAAGATGGAAGTCAATGACTAACCGATACTATATGTTAGTGACTGACATATATTAGACATCATTAGATGATGGTTGATAAAGAACGTTAAAAACTGGGCGACAATGGGTTGCTTGCTTCATCATTCTTTTAATACGAGGATAGGTGTTGCGTGATTGCCAATTGGAAACATAGAAATCAGGTTATAATGTGCAATAGGTTTGGTCATTCTATTGATAGGAGGGGAAAATAAACAACCGATGAGATGAGCATTAGTTATTGATGACTAATAACCATAATCATTGATTAATTTTAGATGTTAATATCCCTTAAAGATTGGTTATGGAGAGTTCTTGAAAGGAAAGGAGTTAATAACGCTTAAGTAGGGGATGCCACCTACTAAAAAAAAGAGAGTTAATAACGCTTATATTCAAATCATTAAAGATTTGTATGCATGAGGTATTACTTGTGTTCAAATACAAGGTGATTTGACTAAGTATATTTCTATTTCGATAGGATTACATCAAGGATGAGCCTTAAGCCCATATCTTTTTTGCTTTCGTCATGGATGTTCTCAATAGACATTTGCAAGAGGATGTACCTTGGTGTATGCTTTTCGCTGATGATATTCTTCTTGACTAGAGAGGGAGTTTAAGGTAAACTTGAATTATGGAGGTGAACCTTAGAATCTAAAGGTTTTCACTTCAGTAGATCTAAAACTGAATATATGGAGTGTAATTTAAGTAGTAATAGACCTAATGAAAGGATTGTGACTTTGACGAGCAAGTCATTAATAATAGTACACATTTTGAGATATCTTGGATCTATTATTCAAAGTGATGGTGAAATGGATGGGGGATATTATCAGCAGAATTCAAGTTGGATGGTTGAAATGGAGGATTGCATCGGGCTTGTTGTGTGATAGAAAACCCCCCCTCAAATTTAAGGGAAAATTCTATATGATGGTGGTGAGACCTGTAATGCTTTATGGTGCCGAATGTTAGCTATTAAAAGAGAAGCATAATACTAAGTTAAGTGTTGCAAAGATGAGGATGCTCAGGTGGATGAGTGGCTTTACCCTTAGAGATAGGATACGAAATGAGCATATACGTGAAAAAGTTGGAGTAGCGCCAGTGGAAGATAATATTAGAGAGAGTCGCCTTAGATGGTTTGGTCACATAAAACGTCATCCTTCTAATGACCTGGTTAGAAAAGTAGAGATATTAGATTTGACTTATATTAAGAAAGATAGAGGTAGACCTAAAAAGACTTGGTTATAAAATATTAGAAATGATATTTATTTATTAGATTTTAAAGAAAAATTTGACACAATGGAGAAAAAAGATTCATGTAGCTGACCCCATATAGTGGGACAAAAGCTTGATGTTAATGTTATTGTTGTTGAAATATCCTTTAAAGGTTGGCGTCAAACACTGGTGATGGCGAGCATTCGTTTTGGCTTGATGATGGTCGCTAGACAATGAGAAGCACAACTCTGAAATTCATTATGAATCTAAAAATTCTCTTTATTGAAAATACTTCATTAGAAATTTAGAATGCATGAAATTGAGTCAACTTACAAATTTTTAGAGTGAGATTTCCAATTATTTTTATAAGAATCATCCATACTCATTGAATAATACAAATTTTTTGACCCAAATTGCCTCAAAATTTTGAATATCTCTATACCTTAATGAACTCAAAACTTAACAATCTCATGCTCTCGAAATTCAATTCATCAATAATAACAACATCAAGCCTCTATCCCACTATGTGGGGTCGGCTACATGAATTATTTTTCTCCATTGTGTTATGTTAAGAATTAAATATATTATATAAATGTCTTAGGTCTATCTCTATATTTCTTAACATAAGTCAAATCTAATATATCTACTTTCCTAACCGGGTCATCAGAAAGCTGCCATTTTATGCGACCAAATTATCTAAGGCGACTGTCTCTAATCTTATCGTCCACTGGAGCTTCTCCAACCATTTCACGTAGATGCACATTTTGTATCATGACTCTAAAAGTAAAACCACTCATCCACATCAGCATCATCATCTTTGCAACACTCAACTCAATATTATGCTTCTCTTTTAATGAACAACATTCTACACCATAAAACATTACATGTCTAACCACCATTTTATAGAATTTTCCCTCAAATTTGAGGGGAACTTTTCTATCACATAACAGACACATTTCATTCCTCCACTTCAACCATCCAACTTGAATTCTATTAATAATATCCCCATCTATTTCATCATAACTATGAATAATAGACTCAAGATATCGAAAACGAGTACTTTTATTAATGACTCGATCACCCAAAGTCATAATCCCCCACTAGATCTATTATTACTAAAATTATATTCAATTTATTTTTAATTTTAGATATACTCAAATGAAAGCCTTTAGACTCTAAGGTTGACCTCCAGAATTCAAGTTTACCTTCAATTCCCTCTCTACTCTTATGAACAAGAAGAATATCATCAGCAAAAACATACACCATGGTACAACCTCTTGCAAATATTTAGTGAGAACATCCATGGCTAAAGCAAAAGGATATGGGCTTAAGGCTAATCCTTGATGTAATCCAGCCGATATAGGAAAATACTTGGTTAAACCACATTGTGTTTGAACACAAGTAACATATGTTGCATACATATCCTTAATAACTCGAATATAAGCATTATTAACTCCTTTCTTTTCTAGAACTCTCCATAGCACTTCTCATGGAATTAACTTTATTATATACTTTTTCTAAATTAATAAATATCATATGTAGATCCTCCTCATTCTCTCTATACTTCTCCATCATATGCATATCCTCCTTATTCTCTCCATACTTATCAAAATTCATCTCATCAAGACAATTATTTAAACCAAAAGAAAATAAAAAATTGAAATACATTTGACCATTCAAATGGACTCAAGAAGTTTCAAATTAAGCTTCCTCTCAAATTGCATCGTTTTGTCCATAAATTTGTTCAAAATAATATTTTTTTTTCTCAAAATTAAGAAAATTTAGATGAGAATATCTCATCCAAATTAAAACAAAATTAATTTCCTTTTTAGTACATTATATATTTAGTCAATCAATTTTGTATCCATGGCAAATTCCTCATAGTATTCTCCCCCGAACCTAACGGCTACTTTCTCTTCCATACTACCACTAATCCTCCGCCTTTCTCTCCCTCAACACCTATTAATAGCAACCAGCACTTGTCCAGCGGTCTCCCTTTCCCCTCTTATCAACTTCAACTCCTCTCCTCCTTCCATCCACCACCACCACCACCAATTCTACAGCCATGGTTGTCGCCGGCACCGGAGAAGCGGAAACTCACCGCTGGAACTCCGATGACATATCTGTGGAGCAGCTCTTCGATTGCAAGGAGGTTCCAACATGGGGAGAACAGCTCACTTTTCGGGCATTTTTCGTCAGCTTCATCGTCGGAATCTTCCTCTGCTTCATTGTAATGAAGCTGAATCTCACCACAGGGATTATCCCTTCACTTAATGTCTCAGCAGGCTTGTTGGGTTTCTTTTTGGTGAAGACATGGACCAAAGTTCTGGACAAGTTTGGATTTCTGAAGAAGCCGTTTACTCGGCAGGAGAATACTGTTATACAAACATGTGTTGTGGCTTGCTCTGGCATTGCTTTCAGTGGTAATTAAATCTCTTGATATTTCTTGTCTTCTTAATTTCTTCTCATTTTCGTCTCAAAATAAAGGGGAAAAATATAATTTTTTTAGAAATTTTTTAGATAGAATTAGATCTACCTTTCAATTGCAATTTTTATATTAAAAAGTTGCTTTAAAAAATAGCAAAAAAACTGTCCTGAACGGAGCCAAAGTTAAACTTATGATATTGAGAGCTTCAAGATATTATACTCTGTCTATTGATCATAGACTTTTGCATTGACAACAATTATTGGGTAATTGTTGAGCCACTAACACCCTCAATAACAAATTGATAAAGTGTGCGATGCCCTATATAAATTCGAGGGTGGAATCATTTTATCACTTTCTAGGTCGAATAAGGTATTAATTTGGGCCATGAAATATGGACTTCGATAAAAATTTGGTAGATTTTGATAAAAATGATCAAAATACCTCTTCTAAAATTTATAAATGGATTATGTTTTTATACATTGAGGGCTTCAAAATAGCCTCACACTAAAAGAGAATGCACCACCCTGGAGGATAGAAAGCAACCCAATGTACAAGTCAATAGAGGCATATTAGCTATGGGGGATGGAGATTTCCCATGGTCTCAAACTTCCTAGAGGTTTTAAGTGTGGATATCAGACTTAAAATGTCATCCAAAGAAAGTATCAATGAATTCCTAGTGGTTGAGGCTAGGAGTCATTCAACGACTAACTTTCATCATCCCATATGAATAGTCAGCAGACACTCACCATCGACTAATGCTCGACAATGCTCAACCCTAGACATTCAACTATCATCAATAGCCATTTGTCAACCATCAACATCATCATTAATACCACCTTCAACTATCACCACAAGGAGAAATTATTCTGTGCGGAGGCTAGACATAGCTCTACGTTCGGAGGCGAATCAGGTGCAGCCACATCAACAGTACCGAGCAATACCAAGCCACGGTACACAACGAAGAACTGACGTGACGCATTCTGATTGGTCTCAGGACGGTATTCGGCATCCGCACAGAATAATTTCTCCACCACCAGAGACATCATTTATAGGTTAAGTCTTTACATTGCAATTTCAAATTCACCAATTACAAAAGGACAAATCATTATAATCATAAATTTATACTAGTTGAACAATTTCAATTGAATTAGACTCCATGATTTTCCCCTTCCTAAATTTCATCATAAAAACTTCTATCTTCTCCATGATATTATAGCATATGTTTTGAATTTTCATACAATTCTAAAATGTTATAATCATCTTCATCATCATAGATATGTTAGCACACAACAACCATCATTAAAAATTTCATTTTTATCATTTCTGTTTAATTATGAAAATCAAAAGTCATATAAGAAATTATTACTACTCCATATAATATATTTCTTAACCTTACATTTGCATCAGGTGGCTTTGGAAGCTACATATTGGGCATGTCCAAACAAGTTTCTGCCGAATTTATCGAAGCAAACGATGACTTGAACACCAAAGATCCCCACTTGGGCTGGATGATCCTCTTCCTCTTCACTGTCAGTTTCGTCGGTTTATTCTCCGTTGTTCCTCTTCGTAAGGTCTGTATCATTTGAAACTCTGAAACTTCTTTTCATCGATCGCAAAAATTTCTGAAATAAATGAGTATAGAATATCTACATCCTTCCTGTCATGAACATTCTTCCATGTTTGATTGATTGTCAGATAATGATTCTTGGTCACAAGCTCACTTACCCAAGTGGAACAGCCACAGCGCACCTGATCAACAGCTTCCACACACCTCAGGGAGCCAAGCTCGCCAGTAAACAGGTCTCTGTTCTTTTCAAATCTCTGGCCAGTAGCTTCATCTGGTCTTTCTTTCAGTGGTTCTACAGCGGTGGCAGCGACTGCGGCTTCAACAGTTTTCCTACATTTGGTCTCCAAGCCTACAAGAACAGGTGCACAGCTCATCAAACAAAAGCTTCAATCTTTCTTTCCTTTCAGGATCAAACAAAATTGATTTTTTTGTTTTAATCTGGTTATTCCACAGATTCTACTTTGACTTCTCCGCCACCTACGTGGGCGTCGGAATGCTATGCCCATACCTGATCAACATCTCCCTCCTCCTAGGCTCCATCATCTCATGGGGGATCCTCTGGCCTTACATCTCCACCAAGAAAGGCCAATGGTACGACTCCAATCTGGAAGAAAGCAGCCTGCTTGGCCTCAACGGCTACAAAGTTTTCATCTCCATCGCCATGATCCTTGGCGACGGCCTCTTCCAATTCATCTTCCTCCTGTTCCGCTGCTCTAACGACATCTACACGAAACTCCACAATCCTCCCAAGCAACAAATCCACCCCTTCTCCGACCAACCGCTTTACGAATCCACCGCCATGACCTTCGACGACCGCCGCCGCACCAACGTCTTCCTCAAAGACGAAATCCCAAGCTCCATTCTTTCCGGCGGCTACATTCTCCTCGCCATATCTTCAATCTTCACCGTCCCCAACATATTCCCCCAACTCAAACCACACCACATCCTCGCCGCTTATCTCATCGCCCCTCTCCTCGCCTTCTGCAACGCCTATGGCTGCGGCTTAACGGACTGGTCCCTCGCCTCCAGCTACGGAAAAATGGCAATTTTCATCTTCGGACTATCGGTAGGAAAAGACTACGGCGGAGTTCTCGCTGGCCTCGCCGCCTGCGGAATCATGATGAGCATCGTCTCCACAGCTTCAGATCTCATGCAGGATTTCAAAACAGGGTATCTAACTCTAGCATCTCCACGATCCATGTTCATCAGTCAGGCAATAGGCACGGCGATGGGCTGCGTTATAGCTCCAACGGTCTTCTGGTTATTCTACAAGGCTTTTCCTTTAGGCCTCGAGAATTCAGAGTATCCTGCTCCTTACGCCAAAGTATATCGTGGAATAGCTTTACTTGGAGTAAATGGGATATCTTCTCTTCCAAAGAACTGTCTTAGCTTCTGCTTCGGATTCTTTCTCTTCGCGATGGTCATCAATGGCGTGAGGGAAATGGCGAGATATAAGAAGTGGTGGTTCTGTGGATATGTGCCGAGCGCGATGGGAATGGCGGTGCCGTTCTATTTGGGGTCTTATTTTACGATTGATATGTGCGTGGGGAGTGTCGTATTGCTTGTTTGGGAGAGAAAGGATAAGCGGCATGCGGAAGCGTTTGCGCCGGCGGTGGCGGCGGGGATGATATGTGGAGACGGGATGTGGTCGTTGCCGGCGTCGCTGTTGGCGATTGCGAGAATTAATCCGCCGATGTGTATGAGGTTTTTGTCGAGGAGCGATAATTTTAAGCTGGAGGCTTTGATTACTCGTCAAGGACTTCCGAACTGAAAATTTTTTTTTTTTGAAAAAATTTTGGTAACCAGAATGAGTTTTTTTTAATGCTCATTTTAAGAGATTAGTGTAAGAATAATATTAATAGATTATATTTATTTTAAGTTTATTTCATAGTTTTGGATATAAGTATATATTATTTTTAAGTTTTTTTTTTGAAAATTAGGATAAAAGGTCAAACACATACAATATATATACGAGATTGGAAACTAAGGAGAGTATTACGTGCATAGTCCGGACAGAAGTTGTCTGATTTTTTTGAGTGCGTACAACAAAACCACAGTAAAAATCTAATGATGAATAGTAATTACGCTTTTACTATACATTTGTTGCTCGTCACAAAAACTAGACGGTTCCCCAGTCCATATTCTACACGTAATAATTTCTTGAAAGTAGGACGTGATTGAGAGTCAAACTTCCAACCAAAAAATCAAGAAGAGCTGCTTTATTCCTCGTGAGTTACTTGTTTGATTTACTCTTAATTCTTCTCTTCAACTATTTTTTTTATTGCTCTATGATTTTATGAGATAAAAATCAAAATAACTCTCTGATTCTTCATAATAAATTATTACCGACTATTTAAAAATTTTATTTTAATCATACCGACTTTTTATAAATAAGAACATAAATGATCTTACAAAAAGACTACTTAAATCTCATTTAAAAAATCCTTTAAAAAATTAAAAAACCAATTCAATCCTTTTCTCATTATTTTATGATAGAGCCAAATATTTGTTACCAGTCAGATATATACCAAAATCATAGCATCTACAAATAATCCTAAAACAATAAACAAATATTTCTGATACAAATTAAAGAAAAAAGATCAAAACAATGAAAAATTCTTTGAAAAAAAAGTTGTTAGCTTTGCAGTGTTCTGATGCCTATAAAACTCCATTGATTGTGGACTGTTAAAAACCGTTGATTACAGCTGATTCAAATCAAATACTTCTCACGAATATACTTTCAGCCTTCAGGCACCAGAAAGCCCAAACAAGTTCATCAGAATCACTTTGGAAGGATAAAAAATAAAATACTAAATTGATATCAAAGACAAACTTAGCAAAAGTATAAAATGCTCCAAAACACTAAATCTGTGAATGTAATCGTTGAGTTGAATGTAACAGGGTTTACTATCTCTGGCTGAGGAAATTGACCACTGGAAGGAGCTGAGGAAAAGCTGAGTTGAGCTTTCGTCCACGAGCGAACTGGTTCAAACTTGAGTCTCTTGCTTCTTAATCATAGCAAGATGTTTCTTCCCACTGATATGCGAGTCATAAACATCTTTGCTGTTGCAAACAACATCGCAAAGAGCACATATCATTATGGCCTCTTCAGCAGCACCTCCCTGAACAACCTTATCCTTCTTGGTCTTCAAATCCTCTTTAATTGAAGATGGTTTCTTCACCGCTTCGACATTTGTAGATTGATCTTGACCAGCTGAAATATTTTTCTTAGAAGTAGATGGCTTTGGAGTAATTTTTTCCTGCAATTTTAGTAGATTTGCCTTGTGTTTTCTTCCCATCTTGTGAGTGTTCAAGGTCTCTTGGCTGTTACATTCAATCTTACAAACTTCACAAGAAAAGTTTTCAACAATTTTGGGAGCAGCAATGTAACCAAGACCAGCTCTTTTGTTGGAAACTGACTTTTTGGCATGTTTCACTTGTTTTAAATGAGCCATTACTTTTGGCACCAGAGTACGATAATTAGGTCCCAAGGCCTGAAACATGAAAACAAAACAAGGGAAGAATGTTTATAATAGAAACAAATTACCATTTTAGTAGACACTACTTGATTATATAATTAAATAATATATGAATGAAATACAGGTTTCATGTACGCAAGAAAGTATAGCTTCTGTGCAAATTGTAAGCCAATGACGACAAAATAGATAAGATAAGAAAGTGGCCTGCACATATTTATTCATTACATATGCAAGTGACAAATCATCTTGATACGAAAAAATTTAGAAGTTATATAAAATATCATTAAAAGTAGCAATTGGCCATATGTCTGGATCCAAGGAATCTTTATGATTTTATAAAATTAATGAAAAGCACAATCAATCAAGTGTGATTTCAAAAAGATTGTCCAAGCATTATTCATTACAAGGCAATACCATATTAAGTTATTAACTATAGCAGCACATTCAACTACAACAACAACAACAACAACATCAAGCCTTTATCCCACTACGTGGGGTCGGCTACATGAATCCTTTTTCTCCATTGTGTCCTATTAAAAGTCAAATTCTCGTTTAAATCTAATAAAGAAATGTCAGCACATTCAACTAAAAGAGAAAAAAGAATCAACAACTTTGATTAAACATTTTAACATGCACTAGATATCTAAATGACGAGGATAAATAAAAGGACATTTTCTAAATAATGGATCATACTTGACAATAAATACAAAAATAAAATGCCGAAAGTAATAAGAAACTTTTAATTTTACCTTAAGAGCATGTTTTTCTCCTGCAAGGTGTGATGCAAATACTTTAGCACTGTTGCAAACTACATTGCACATTGTACATACTTTTACTTCATCAGCTGATGCACCTCCTTCAATAATTCTCTGTTTCTTTTCCTCCAAATTAAAAATAGTTGAGCGGATCTTCAACTTTCTTTTCTGATAAGAAAGGGGCAATAAAAAATGAATTGGCTTAGTCCAGCACGTAAAAATGAAGATGAGAATTGCATTTATAAAGCTCAGAGAAGACATTACAAGACTGGTCAATAAGGACGTATGATTACTTCTTCTGGCAGAATTGTATAATGCTAGAGCCAGAGTATTTATGCCCAAAACTAATATTACTCCACACGAAAGAACTTGCTTAATCACTACATCAAGCACTAGCTTACAAGTTTGGCAACAAATGCTGTAAAGATATTGAAAAAGGGATACACAAACAGCTCAAATGAGATTATGCTGTTCCAAATGGGTGTCCAAAAATATTGGATTTTTCAAAATATTTATGTGTTCAAATCAAAACAAAGAAAAAATTCAATTCATGGTGTGGGGAAAACATTGTTTTCTCTGAAAAAAAAAAAACCAGCTTTTGGGCCTCATTGGGTTTGTGATTCAGAAAATGGATTTTAATTAAATATTTCCTAAATTAACTTAAAATGTTACTGTTCATGGTGGTATTGTACAAAATTTGGAAGACCTACTAAAGTTGGCGTGCAGTTGGTGTGATTGAAATTAAGGGCGGTAATGCTAGGGGTAGTTTAGGAAATTTGCATTAGGAAATTACCCTTATCTATTCCTTTGCTTATAGCTGAAGCTTGCATTCACAGACAGAACAGCTGAGAGAGCTCTTGGTCAAGAGCGGTGAGTAGGGTAGGGCGGGTGCAGGCCAACGGGAGGAGATGGGAATTTTGGGGCTTAAGAGGTAAAATTTCTATTTTTAGTAATTTCACTCGTTTATTTGGCTACGAATAAGAGTTGAGGAGCATAAAAGTTATATAAGGAAAGATTAATTTGAGAAGAAATTGAAAATTTAATGATGTCAGAAATTAGAAACAAATTTTAACCCACAAAATCAATTATTCTGGTAGTGTAAACACGAAGGAAATGTGGGGCTGTTAATAATGAGACAATTTATCCGGAGAGAAATCATTGACACCATCAGGTAAGATAAGCATGTTATGACCCGGCCCGGTAAGCTCGTGCAGACGAGGCGGGAACGGAATCGGACGTTCAAAACATTACAATTATCTTAAAACATGCATTGAATTAATCTAAAATATTCCATAATAAACTAAAAGCACCTCTAAAATTTTCCAAATATATATAATAAACACTTCATATCATTTCAAATTAGGGTTCATATGTACAAAGGTGGTTACAAAACTTAACATATATGCCAAACCACCAAAAAAAAAAAAAGTGTAAACTATAACTAAGAAAAACATAAAAAGAACCTGTCAGCCGGTACTCTACGACTGTAGGTGAACCAAGGGTGGTCAGCCATTCTTTGCAGTTGGTTCTCCTGAAAAGTATCCCAACACGAGGGAGTGAACTAACTCTCAATAGGAAAACTCTAACCCTAACATTTTCACATGCTTTTTAAAATGAAAATTCACATATATGCTAGAAGTGAAATGCCTTAATTCTTTTGCTACACATGATAGTTTACATATGTCTTATGAATGTCGGATGCCTTATGAATGTCAAATGCCATATGTATGCCAGGTGTCTTATGGACGTCATAACTCATATATGTCATAGCTTATGTATGTCATATGATTATTCATATTTTATTTTATATAACCGTACCGGAGTACCAAGAGTGTACTGATCAGGTACACAAACATCTTTTTGACCATCCATTTCTTTTCCTCTTTTGCCCCAAAAGGCCATATTGTTTCGTATTGCTCATAAGAGTCATATTTTTGCTTTCGCACTATATTTGATACTTCACCTTCAACATGCACAATCATTTACATAATCTTTCCATAGAGATATATGTATGTAATATAGCCTTTTATAACAACCATTTGTCTTGAGCATGAAGTACGTGCATGAAAGAAACTTATATGAAATGCTTAGAGTTTTAAACATCAACTATGCATTTGTTAAAATCAACTAAAGATTGCATTTGCTATGTATCAGATAAACTAAAGATATGCATTTGCCATATATCAAATCAACTAAAGATATGCTTTCCATGTACAATTAAAGATATAAAACATAAAGGAACAATAAAAACATAAAGGAATATAATTATATAGGGTAAGAGATTCCTACCTCAATTGCCCTTTGAAAGCCTTCACTTCACCAACCTCTCCTTAATTCCCCTTTTCAAAACCTAAGGAAAACATTACAATATAAGCCTCTTATATAAATTTAAACCACTATATCACATTAACCCTACACATGTCATAGCTAATCATTTCCTTTAAGCTCATTAATACACAATCACCTACACATATCCTAAAACATTTAATTAACCACATAAGCATGCTCATTACATAAAGCATGAGTCTTCATTTTAA